GATGGAGCCGATTCTTTTCTCTTATTAAAATGAACTTTGTACACAAAATTGGTGAGACAAGCTATCTGATAATATCCTCGGTTGTATCAGTATGAAGTAAAACTTTGTTAAATTCGCCAACAGAATTGAAAACAAACAAGTTATCCATTCGTTGTTATAAAAATAAATCGCTATTCCTTTAGTTTTCAAGAGACTGGACCAAACAATTTTATTGAAATAGCAATAGAACTCATGGAAGAAAGTTTTATTTATAATTTAATTCAACTTCACATGATTGAACCCAATTCTGTTATCGTACAGTATTCACAACGAAATGTCCCTCCCAAAATTTACTAAAGAGACAAAATTACAACATTAATGCACAAGTTAACACAAATGGGCAAAACTGGGTAAAGAATGTTCCTTTCAAATTTGGACTTTGTTGGACGTTGTAGAGACATAAAACCGAGCCCAGTTGTTTGATTTTAAAGTTTCTCTGATCAATAGTTTTCGAGAAAATCAAGTTCGAAGTTGAAACTTCAATCGACTTTTGTACAGTTGTGTGACCTGATTTTTTCAACAAACTTCATTCCATTGATGTATATTTTGATGAATAAAACTTTCAGTTTTCTGTAAAACAGTTAAGTGCGATTTTTAGTTAAAACGATCGCAATCCGTTACCGAAATAGTTAAAAAGCTAAAACCTGTTCTCGGTCTATGAAAATCGTTTGCACATATCATTGTTTGAATAATTTCTACAATAGATCAAAAGTTCTCTTCATTTTGGCCATTAGAATAAAAACTTTGAACATCGGTATTTCGCTAATGGTAGTACATAAAACCTTCGTTCTTTGACAAATCGACAGATTGCATAATAAATCATGATACATTTAAGTTTTAGATAATTCAAGATGCTACGCAAAAAGTTATAACATTGTGTTAAGCAAGTTGTTAGGTTTCACTCCTGGATATGTACAGACAATATTTACACACGCAATATAAGTTTTAGCTCTCTATCTATTATGGTCACAGAATGATATCGATTTTAACAAAAATTCATTTTGATCTGTTTTTCAGAAAAAAGAAAAGTGTTATTCCTGAGCACAAGACCATTTTCTGGTTAGTCATCAAAAGATGAATCATTAAAATGAGTTTTCATGAAAAAATCTAAATTCCATAGCTTCACAAAATGCAATGGAAGTTTCAACTTTGGACTCGATTTTATCGAAAACTGTCCATCGGAATAATTCTTTGATAGTAGTTATCGACTCAGTTTTTATGTTCCTACAAACCCACAAAGTCTCAAATCTTTAATCGAATGTTCGAGCCATTGGCATTACTTTTTTCATTTCATTTCAAAGTTTAACCAGAAAATTGGTTTAAAAACCAAGAAATGGGTTGAGATGAGTTTATTTTTTTAAATGAGTCGTTACTCGTTCATTTACACGCCAAAAATCATGACTTAAATTCACTAATGGAAAGTCATCAAAGTGCATTGAATTATTAATTAGTTAAGGACTAAATTGGCGAAATAATGATGAATGTGAGTGATGCCATTCTCGAAATATCGATGTTCAAAGTTTTTATTCTAATCGCCAAAATGAAGAGAACTTTTGATCTATTGTAAAAATTATTCAAACCATGATATGTATAAACAATTTTCATAGACCAAGAACAAGTTTCAGCTCTCTAACAATTATGGCCATGGCTTGCGATCGTTTAATTAAAAATCGACTTCGATTTGTTTTAAAGAAAACCGAAAATTTTATTGTCAAAATAAGTGGATAGTCTGATAGTTACCAAAAGTTACAACAGAATGTTTCAAGTTTCATGAAAATATCTGGTCGGTCAACTCTACAAAAAGCGATCGAAGATTCATCTGCGAATCTGATTATCTCGAAAACTATTGATCAGAGAAACTTTAAAATCAAACAACTGAACTCAGTTTTATGCGTCAACAAACTAACAGAGTTTAAATTTGAAAGGGACATTTTTTACCCAGTTTTGCCTTATTTGTGTTAAATTGTGCATAAATGTTTCAATTGTGTCTTTTTAGTAACAACCAAATTCTCTCTCTCTCTCTCTCTTTCTGGTAAACAAAGTACCATATTAATCCATTAACTTAATTATTTGTAATCATAAATAAGAAGCTAAGTTTTGGAAGGAACATTTCGTTGTGAATTCTGAACGAGAACAGAATTGGGTTCAATCATTTGAAGCTGAATTAAATTATAAATAAAACTTTCTTCCATATCGCTGTTTCAATAAAATTGTGTGGTCCAGTCTCTTGAAAACTAATGGAATAGCGATTTATTTTATAACAACAAATGGATAACTCCACTTGTAAAGAAATTGATAAAGTATTTCAATTAATTAGTAAAACTCTTTACACGAACAATGTGCATGTTTGATTGATCTCCTGGTAATTCGATTATAGTAAATTAGCTAACCAAATTGCAGTAAATGATCACCCCTTTTCATGAGTTATATGACCGTTTGAATAATCTTCTTCGTCTATCTATTTCATTTAACAGAGTAACTCATGTTTTCAACTATTTAATAACAACCAATTACGAATTTCATTATTCATATGAATTTAGTTGTGTTAAATTTGGAACATTAAATCACAATGATTTCTTCGTTTGTTCAAAAATTAGTTCTAATTGTAATTTTCATTGCAATTAGCTGTGAAACTAAATATAATTGTGATTATTCTTGTTTAACTAAAACCTATTCTTACAAGGATTCGGACAAAGATGTTGCCAGTGTTACGTTCACAGCAAAACAAGTCAATGGAGTCAACTATGTGACCATAAATCTTGTTGGATATAATATCAAAGAATCTGAATATCAGCAAGTTTTTGTTTCAATTAATAGTGGCTCCGATAGCAATAAATATATTTGTGATAGGAATACATACGGATCAACTAGTGCATATTTCAATGGACCACAAAGCCAAGTGATCAGTGGTTCATCAAAATACCAAAGTCATACCTTATACTGTTCTTGGACAATGTCTAGAGAAGATTCAATTTGGCCGAAAAACTCAATCGGCAAAGGATTGGATTTGGAATCTAATTCTAGATATGGTGTAATGTTATCCAATAGGGATCAAACCTTAATGGTCGCTGCAAACATTAAAGATTTACCCATTTATCAGATGAAATTTTTGAATTGTTGCTACAAGGTCCATGGTAATGACAAAGTTCAGTTATTTGTCAGACAAACAGACAATTCAAATGATTTTAATATTTTTATATTGGCGGATAGTCTATCATCAGCTTACTTTACTTCTGTTAAGTTAACTGGATCAGATTCGAGTCAACTTGATTTTGGTTGCTATTTAGAAGACACTTGGATGGATAGTCTTCTGAAAATGGATGACCAATCAGTTTCAATCAATTCCCAAATTTCTCATATTCATTTTTTAACAGGAAAACTCTGCTCTTGGTCAATGCCACTGTCAATCAATTCAACGATTGGATATCATGATACCAGAGACCGTGTTTATGATTTGAAAATATCAGTGGATGGTAAGAATGTTTATACAGAGAAAGGCGTACCGCTGAAAAGTTTAGCTTCAACCCAAATTTCAAATATATTTTTTTTATTCACCGCTTTTTTGTTGCGCCAAATGATTATTTAGGATTGCAAACTAATGGAAATATCTCATGATAATATATCAATCAACACTAAACAAAAACAAAATAAACTATTGACTTATTATTTGCACGAGCTTTTTCTTGAAACTTATTTCCAAAACCGATTTCTAATTGTAATACTTTTCATTAAAATTTCATTACAAGCTAAAGATACGTTCAATCGAGGTCAAATTTGAAAATTCGTTCGCTTTTTTACAGTTGTGTTATCAGATTTTTTCTTCACACTTCATTTCCTCCATTCAGATCCTCTTATTTATCTTACAGCATTCCTAATGAAATTCCCTTGCAAAATAAGTAGCTTCATAATAGCTTTATTATGTATTACATGCGGTTAGATGTATGAATTAATCTGGTTTTTTGTTTCCAGAGGTTGTGCGTTGCTTTTCATTTGTTTGTTATTTCATTCAAAATTATCTAACTGCACTCTTAAAAGTGTGAGTAGGAAAATTGGAGGATGTGATCAGCGATGTTGGTTTCATTTTTGTATTTTGTTCGGTTCAAGTTTTACGATAGCCCAGAAATCGACTGACAATTGTGTGATTTGACTCCTTTTAGTTGATTGGAATATCAAAGTTAATTAAAAGTTAAACAAAGTTGAAATTAAATCTAGTCTTTAAAAATTAAATGGGATAATCTCATTTATTTTATTCGCCTGGATTCCCATCAAGTTGGGTAATCTAATGATAAATAATCTAATGAGATTCAAACCAGTATTGTTGAAACACTAATAACAAATCAAAATATAACCATATCGGACATCTTCCAATCTTGATATTCAAGATAATTTGTTTATTCATTATTCATTATCATATTAGATAATCACCAATTATTCACATTTAAAACCAGTGCAAATAAAATTTCATCAGCTGGTTAATCGTTAGGCGAGCGATATATCGATAAGTTAATTGAACATTGAATTCAAGGAATCCATTTAAATCTCTCTCTCTCTCTCTTTCTTTCTTAGTGTTATTTTTCATATATCGATATTTTTTATATCAAAAGTTTTAATACCGATATTCAGAAAATATCAAAAAATCTGATTTCATGTATTGAAAATATTAATTGGCTATAATGTTTATTGCCACACAGAGTCAATATTTAGCCTTGATTCAGTCATTTCTCAGCATGTATTAGACAAATATCTTAAGGTGAGAATGAGTGTTCATAAATAAACGAGTAAATTTGTAAAAATTGGACGCATTAATGACCCAAGGTTGAGCTTGACCAATTATTTCAATTTAATTACAATTGTATTTGTACGTTTTATAACGATATAATATCGTAACTCATATTGATATTAGTTTGTGAAAAAATATCGATATATATCGGTTGATTCGATATATCATCTCTTCTCTCTCTCTCTCAATTCATGTTTATGATGTGCCTTATGCCAAAATTGCCTTGGTTAACTGTTATACTCAACTGTTGAAGTTACTTTTTCATATCAATATTTTTTAAGCCTTTTTTGGATAAATCTTCTTCCAATTAATCAGAAATCTAATTCGGATAATTATTTCAGAATTCGTATCAAGGGTCTATGACAGGTAAATATTTTGCTTTCCCATATCTCAACCTTTTTTGCTTCATCAACTCTATACTCTTTACTATGCGTTTATATTGACACTTGGTTTTTAATTGCTGTCATTTTTTTTCTTTGAATGTTTTACATTTACTTCAGTGGTTCATTCAGTGAATGATTGTAAGCATTTTGTTGAAACAATTTTACTTTTATCCATTGGTTAGGCTAACAAATTTTTACTCAATGTAACCAAAACTAACCGGTTATTGCAACAAGTGCATCTCTATTGTTGACTTCATCATAAACACTTGTTTCATGTTCTCTCTTTCTCTTCCTTCCCTTTCTATCTATTTAATTTATAATTTATTTATTTATAAATATTAATCTATCAATGACTAAACAGTTATCAGTAAAATGTTCCAAATATTTCATTGGGCTAATGAGTTTTAAATTAATTGAAGCAAGAGTATAAGCTAAAACAAGTGTAACTTTAATCTTGTAAATTGCCTTAGTTGGATTTGAGTTTAGCTTGGCGTCTACCTTTCATCACTTTCAGCATCAGGCCATATCATCCCTCACTTTTTCTCCTAATCTTTAATCTAACTTTTCAACCTTATCTTATTGTGTATTTACTATTGTGTGTGAACTAAATTGTCAGTTTGTTTGGAATAGTTTTATTTGTGTTACTTCTTTGCTATGTGTTTACAATGCCTCTTTTTTACCCATCAATCCTCTCATTTCTAGTTTTCTATGTATTATTTATCTAGATGATATTTTAATTAAAATTAAAGCGTGTTTAAAATAAATAATGGATGACAAATGGACCCCTGTTGAAGATAGATTTAAATATGGAGTCGGTAAGTTCTCTTAAATTACATTGTTTATCTCATTCAGCTATTTTCATTAATTCAATTTGTGGTGCCATTTATTAATGTTTTATTTCATTGATTCCATTTCAAAGCTATATCCAATTTCTCATCGGACTCTCCGGTCGTCATTCAAAGTGCCTTAGACCTCGTTGTTGGTGAAACTGTTTCAATCCTTCTGTCTATAAAAGACTGGTATTATGGTCACAAATTGGGAGATAATGTCAGAGGAATTTTCCCCAAAAGTTACATTGCAATCAAAGATCATGTCGAGGAAAAGATCTGGTACGTTGCAATTGTCAACATCGGTCATGTGAAAATATTTCATCGATTTCGTCATTTTCATCTACAAATGGATTTGTGCTATTTTTTACCTTCTTAGACTTCACATTCTAATGATTAATCTGTTTTTATATCTTTTTTATAGCGGTGCTGAGATGAAAGAGCCAAGTATTACAAAAGAAGTCACAGTTATTTTGAGAGAATGGAAAACGAAATGGAGGCAACTTTATATTGTAAGTTATGAATTCATCATCATTTGAATTTCTCATCACCTTTATACAATATTATTTCTGTAATTTAGCGCCGAAGTAAGGATTTTGACACTGTCAGGCTAATGATGATCGAAATGATTGAACTCAGAAGTAAAATTATGTCTGGTACATTACCTGTTGACGAACTGAAAAATTTGAAACAAACTATCACTTCAAAAATTGACTTGGGCAATGTGTAAGTTGATATTATTTTTGCATTCATAATTTAATCAATTTTTAGCATACACTAATTTTAAAATTTTATTATTTAGTTTACTTGGATTTGACATGATTGTCCGTGATGAGTTTGGTAATGTTCTTGATCCAAAGGAATGTAGTGCCATTGAGCTTTATCGTGCTCATGAAAGTTCCACGGAAAAAATTCGACACGAATCGCGTGGATTAGCCAATGAAAATGACAATAGAGATATTTTACTAGCTATGAAAGGTGTAAATAGTCTTCACTTTTCACTTTATGTCACCGTAAATAATTGCACTTGTCACATTGGAGAAGATGCCGATATATTGATAACTCTTTATGATAGTAAAGAGTCCAAATTCATCAGTGAAAATTATGTCGTACCCTGGAGCTCGCAAGGATTAATGAAAGAATTTGCCAAATCAAACAAAGGGCGAGTTGTATTTTGTGTAAGTCTCTTAATTTTTTCCATTGACAAATTTATTCCTTTTTATGTGAGCTTAAACAAATTCACAGTCAAGCAGGAAGGAAGATGGCTAATGCCTCTGAAAATGACAGAAAAGTGAGTTCACTGAACTACACGATTCAGATAAATTAAATCAGTTAATTGTTTTTGCTTATTTTCTTAACACTTGGAGTTTAGCTGATTCTTGTAATCACAGATGTTTTCACAAATTTTTTATAAAAACTTGCGATACTTGCACAAATGTATCCTAACAGTTAGTTTGAAAAGAAAATCTATTTTAGTAACGAAATTTGTTTATTTTTACTAATTTCAAAGAATTTTCACTTGTTTTCAGGATCTCGGAAGCAAAGATTTGAGAAGGGAAAAGGTTTATATTATTTGCCAAATAATTCGTAAAGGTGCAATGGAACTTAAAGAAACCGAGCAAGGTCATCGTGGAAAAGGTTTATCACAATTTAAAAAAGATCAAAATAAAAGACTAAACGAAGGAATCAGACGTCCATTTGGAGTTGCTGCTTTTGATGTTACAGAGATTCTTAAAGGAAAAGTAGAAAGTGATGGAGAGAAACACTTTTTCATACCTTTTATGCAATGTATGGATAAAGATACACTTGATTCGACAATTCGTAAACTTTTATCCCTCAAAGGTGAAATCAGTGAAAAAGATCACAAAGGCCAAGGCTTATGGATTTCGTATAAACTACTGCTTGGTGATTTAGAACAAGCTCGTGGTGACTCGCCTCATCTTATTTCCCAATATACCAAAATTGCGCGTCGAATGGGTTTTCCTGAGATAATTTTACCTGGTGACGTTCGTAATGATCTTTATTTAACTTTGATTTCCGGTGACTTCAGTTCAAAAGCAAGCAATGCTAAGAATATCGAAGTTACTATTAGAGTGTGCAATGATAGAGGTCACATCCTTCCTGAAGCAATCACCGTCGGTCCTGGTTTATCATTGGGATCTGAATATAAATCAGTTGTGTATTACCATGAAGAAAAACCTAAATGGATGGAAACCATCAAAATTTCGTTAGATATTGAAGATTTTCGTACTTCACATCTCAAAATAACTTACAAACACCGATCAAGCAATGAATCAAAGGACAAAAATGAGAAACCGTTTGCTTTTTCCTTCATCAGACTAATGAATGAAAATGGTACCACTTTGAAAGATGAAATTCACGAACTTTTAATTTATAAAATTGATGGTAAAAAGTATGATGAAACTGACAGTAACGTGAGTTACTTTAAATTGCCATCCACTCGAAGTGAACTCGAGTCAAAAATACCAAAAGCAACATATTCAAACTCTGGTTCCAGTTTAAAGTTGGCCTTCTCCAATATCAGTGTACCTGGACTGACACTCAATCCTCGTGATGTTTGCCTTGTTTCTTCCATAGTTTGTTCAACTAAACTAACTCAAAACATTGATCTGCTTGGACTGCTTAAATCACCACCATCATCAAACGACGACGAACTCAAAGCTTGTCTTCTTGCATTTATGAAAGTTGACGGTGAAGATATTGTCAAATTTTTGCAAGATATTTTAGACTCCCTTTTTAAAACTTTAACAGACAAAGAATCAGACGAATTTGTCGATTTAGTTTTTAAAGCTCTAGTTTTTGTTGTGGGGCTTATATCAGACACAAAGTATCAACATTTCCGTCCAGTACTTAATGTTTACATTGAGAAAACCTTTTCTGCTGCTTTAGCTTACAACAAATTGATTATTGCTCTGCGGCGTTATATTGACAAATTATCAGCTGGACGATTACAATGTGACAAACTGAATGGATCTTTGTCATTAGATGCCTCCATTGGATCTTATCATGAATTCAATGACAGCCTATTTGTCATAAGTATGATGAAAAGTATTGGCTTTCTCTTCAAATTTATTGTCCGTTCACGGTGCCTCTTCCTAGAATCACAAAGACTTCAGCGATTTGATGTTCCACTTGATAATATGGTTGAATTTACATCCATGCAAGATCTACTTTTATCATTTACTTCTCTCATGTCACCTCGAAGTAAAGCAAGTATTGAAATTCAAGCTCTGTGCCTTAAATACCTTCCACCTGCAATACCTGATATTTTAATTGTTTTCGAAAGGAAAACATTAAGCCATATACTAATTGAACTAATTACTCGAGTGCCTTATGAAAAATTGAAGCAACAAAAGCTTCTTTTTATGTCAGATATTATCCAATGTGATTGCCTTTTCAGTGATCCAGAGGCAAGAAAAATTTTACTCCCAGTGTTTAGTGAACATATTCACCATTTTCTGGAGAAAAAGACTGAAATGGATTATTCTGTCCAAGTTTTGAATGAAATATTAACTGTACTAAGTCATTGTCCATTGGATGAAATTGAAGCCGACATTGCTGACCTCAGTCTATCTCTTCTTCGAACTGTCATATTCACAGTTATTGGCAGAGGACGGGATGAAGGTTTAACTGGTAACTTAGTTGCCATTATGATAGACATACTGCGTTTAATGACTCCAAGTCATTATAATAAGTATATGGAAATTTACACTAACCACCGACAACTTTTGGAATTTCTTATTGAACTTCTTCTGGTATTTAAAGATCTTGTTTGTGCCCCAGTTTACCCCTCTGATTGGAATGAGATGTTAATGCTTCAAAACAGTGTCATACTTACATCATTAAAACAATTTGCAATGAAAATCCGTGAACGTTTTGTTGGACCTCATTTTGAGTATCAACTATGGAATAACTTTTTCCACTGTGCAATCGCTTTTCTAACCCAAAAAGCTCTACAACTTGAAAATTTTTCAACCACCAAAAGAAATAAAATTTATGAAAAATATCGTGATATGAGAAGAGAAGCCGCTTCTGAGATAAGATGTATGTGGTTCCATTTAGATATTCATACAATTGAATTTGTTCCTGATTTGATTGGTCCATTTTTAGAAGTCGCTCTCATTCCGGATCAACATCTTCGCAAAGAAATTGTTCCTATATTTTTTGAAATGATGCAATGTGAATTTTATTCATCACGTCCGTCAAACCAACGATCATTTAAAGGATGTGAAGATGAAATGATCACCCAATTAGATAAAATGATTGAATCTGGTAAAGGAGATATCAATTTCCGTGAACTATTGAAACGTGAGATTGAAGATAAATTTGAAAATCATGCCCATATGCGAGAAAAAGGACTTAAATTTGTCAGTATGGTTGACAAATTGATTCGTAGACTATTGGAATACAGAGCAATGCTCAATGACGATGTCGAAGAAAACCAAGAATGTCTCATGATTTGTATTGTCAATCTTCTTGAGTTTTATCACAAAAACAAGCGTGAAGAAATGTATTTAAGATACCTTTACAAATTAGTTGATCTTCATATAGCATGTGAAAACTATACTGAAGCTGCTTACGCTCTTCTATTACATGCTACTCTACTTCATTGGACTGACGAACCTTTACCATCTCAATTGAGAAGTGAAAAATATCCTGACAGTAAAACCCACCGAGAATTGAAAGAGAACCTTTATAAGACAATTATCGACTATTTTGAAAAAGGCCAACAATGGGAAGAAGGTTTAAAAGTTTGTAAAGATTTAATCATCAAGTACGAGAAAGACATTTTGGACTATGTTCAACTTTCTCATTTATATCAAAAAATGTCTACTCTTTACGATCATATTGTCAAACAAATCCGAATCAAGAGAGATTATTATAGAGTTGCATATTATGGCAAAGGATTTCCAGCATTTCTCAGAAACAAAGTATTCATTCATCGAGGTAAACCCTATGAACGACTTGGTGAATTCACCAAACGTTTGATGGACATGTTTCCAAATTGTGTTAAATTAGATCCGTTGGCACAACCTACTCAAGAAGTCTTGGAATCAGATGGTCAATATCTTCAAATTAAAACTGTTGATCCAGTTGTTGAATTAAAAGAGAGATTCAGAGGAAAGTTGCTTCATCCGCATATAATTACTTTCTATGAAGGTAATCAAGTTCAAAAATTCAGTTTATCAAGGATATTCAAACGAGAATCATATTGGGGAGAAAGTGAATTTGCGTCACGATGGGTTGAGAGAACAATTATGAAAACTCAATATCCACTTCCAGGAATTTTAACCTGTTTTATGGTCACAGAAGTAACTTCAATTGAAATATCTCCCATTGAAATTGCCATTGAAGATATGGAAAAGACTAAAAGTGATGTTATTCGAGCCATTTGCTCTCATCATTACCGTTTACCCAATTTGAATATTGCTGAAGTGCTTTTGATGAAAATTCAAGGAATCGTTGAAGCTGCTGTAAACGGTGGCATTGTCAACTATGAAAAGGCATTCATTGAAAGTCGAGAATATATTCAGATTGACGACGGAATCGATATTGGAAGAAAAGATGATCTCATCAAAAAATTGATCAATTCAATTGCTTCTCTAATTCCTGTTCTCGAGATTGCATTTGCACTTGTTAAACCATATATTACACCAGACTTGCAACCTTTGTATGAACATTTGGAGGAATCTTTTCGAAAAATGAAACAAACTCGTGAAGTTGCTTATAGTAAACGACCTCCACCCAAAGAATTGACATTCTTGTTGAAGGAGATTAATAAACGCAATTCTTCTTCTACCGAAGGAGAAGAAAAATTAGATAGATCCAGGTAAATTTCTTGATAATTTAATTATTTCAATTTATTATTTAATTTTAATAGCAATTGAATGATTAATGAACCTTTCTTTACGCTTTCTAGCTTGACTCAAAGTGTTGGAAAAGGAAGATCAAAATCTGTCTTCAGTCTTACAAACCCACCGAATATTTGGGCATCATTCCCAGGACAAACAATGAAAGAAACTTTACGAACCAAGAAAGGTTCGTCTGGTAGTGGGGCTAACCGTAAAGCGAAAGGAGAAAGTAGCACTAAATGGTTTGATGTCAATGACACTGGAAGCTCAATGGGTGACATTGAAAATCGTTCAACTACTGACATTTCGATGGACTCTCTATTGACACGATCTGCTGCTATCCGAACTCCTAGACCACGAAGTGGTGGACAAATTCGATCTTCTCCAGGTCGAAGCCCAATGAATCATACTCTTTCTGCCACATGCTTAAACACATTCCCAATTCAACCAGAACCAGATTACAACGAGTCTTCAGATATACTACAAAGTTCCCCTGAACCACCGCCTCTCCCAGTCAAGCAACATTCCACCATTGATCTTAGCATTGGAAGTCCAGATCGTGATGGATCACTCGATGATCGAACTTCGCTGTCACGAAATCGTAAAGGTTCTTTACCATCAAAATCATCTTTTTTCAACAAGCCTTTACCTCCTCCTCCTGCTGTATACTATTCTCATGCTCGTCAAACATCAGTTCCTAGTTATAGATCAAATTCACGTGCCTTCGGATCACCTGATGATAATGAACCACCTCTTTTGCCAAAGAGGCCAAGTCATAGTTCTAATAGCCTTTCAGTGCCAATTACCTCTGAGCTACGGAAAGATGTTGTTTAACAAGTTCAACTATACGGGAAAATGTTGAAAGGATTACCTAGTCTTACCACCTTATTCATTTCCTGATAAATCATCTTGAAATACATTCATTGCCTTATTCATTTTATGTTTCATGTAATCATTATAATTATTTTATGCGGCCATCTATTTTAAGTTTTGCACCAATTTTATATCTTTGGCGCTGGTAAATGATTAGAATGGCTATAAGCAAAAGATATTAAAAATGGCGAAAAACTAAATTTAAATGGCTGTATTATAATACCGTCCTATTCATTATCATCATTTAAAGTATTGGATAAGATGCATCAATAGAACGAAATTATTGTCATATAACATTTTTTTTAACAGCGAATTTCTATTTTTTTTACAAAAATCTGTGATCAGTTAAAACAGTTTCATGAAAACATTAACCCAAGAAAAGTATCAAGCCTTATTTAATGATTGAATTAAATCAATTTCTCAATTTTATCTAAACTAAACTTCGATTGGAAAACTTTGTACCTTACTTTAACCTCAGTTGATTTTATAACATGACATTATGCCATTGGAAGCAAAACATAACTTTCTTATTACCAAAAATCATGTTTAACCCACCATGTTGTAAATCTTATCATTAAATAAATCTGATACCAAGAAAACTTGAGATAATTTAACTGACTATTATAATGCCATCTGAAATTTGCCTTGCAGAATGTTTGATCAAAAGCAAATCACTTGTTGCTAACTCAACAGATGTTCAAATTATGCTAAACTTGTTTACTTTAACAATGTTTGATTAGTCAAGATCAAGGCTATAAATCAAAAAACAGTCATTAATTGTCCTTTATTAAGAAATGTGAACGACGAAATCAGATGATGTACCTTTGAACCAGAACCAGTAAGCACATTAATCTCTCCATAATTAACCATCTGTCATCCATAGAAGAAATGCTGACAATAATTATAATTTTACATTAGATAAGTTTTATCACAGTAATACTGATTTAAGTTGTATTGTCATTTAAAAATCAAAGATTAATCGACTAAATCATTAACCCTAACCTGTCAACAAAAATACCTTTGATCAGCTGGTCCGATTAATCGTTGCTCCTTTACGGACGATATATCGATTTGCTGATTGAGCATCACATTCAGACTGAAGCATTTCCATTTGAAGTTTAACTGTAAACTGTGTTACGCTAGTCATAAATTCAAGCCAAATATAACTTAATCTAATAGTTTAATTCAACTGTAAAACTTACCGTTTCATCCATATCAATACCAATATCTTTAAATTCCGTGTTGTGATTAAAATCATCATTTGCTAACCAGCAAAGTTAATTGAAACAATTATTATCACTACAAGTAATATCAAGAGTCTATGACAGGTAAATTGCTTTCTTTTTCATCTTTCAACCTTTTCCTTACTCCATTCACTCTCACACACTAGTAACTCTATAGTATGTTATACTCTCACTCTTTCACGCTTCTTACTATCCTTACTCTACCAGATAAACTGTGCATGTTGCTATCCAGCCATGTTTTTATCGATCGAACTGAAAAAAAAAATTCAGAATGACATTTCCTTATCTCTCTCACTCTCTCAATTTTGTCGAGCCTTTCTCATCCTCTACTCACTCATTGGCTATTCCTAAAAGCTATTCTCGTAACCCTAATTATTGAACATTTGTTATGCTCTGTCCATTTGCTCATCAAATCATTTTCCCCTTCAAAACGATTTACTAGACCAAAAAAAAAACAATCCAATCTATGGAATTGTTTTGTTATGGCAAAAAAAAGATCTTTTTGTAGTCTCATAGATGGAGCTATAGTTTGTTATGTTTTCCGATTGTTACTCGAATGTCAATATAAACTGTAAATGCGCGTTATAACTTATAATCAAACGATTGCAACCTTCCTTTTGACCTTAACTATTCTACATTTAACCAGGCTAAGTCATCGAACCACTGTTACTCCATTTCTCTGTTAATTTTCATCTCAACTTATCCATCTATTTCTTGCATCGTCCTCCTTCCTCTCTCCCATCATCTTCCCAACTCACTGTCTTTTATAACACTTTTAGTTTCTCATTTACCCTTGCCTAGTAATTTTATACTCTCTATGTTTATCTTTTTTTTCTGGTTCTTGAAAAACTGTCGAAACTTTATTTCATAACTTGCATCCCTGTCGATCTTCATCGCCATTCACTTTTCCTTCTACCTCTTCTCAATCATTATCGTTATTCTCAATTTGTATACTGTTCTGCGTTCAAACAACCAACAAAACCATTTTAACATCCGCACTTATAAACCATTTATATAAATACTTTATTTAAATACACATAAATATTACCCATTGTTAAATCTTGTTCAATTGTTGCCTGATACTAAACAATCTCGTTTATTAGAATTCTAATTTATAAGTATTTTTAATACTTGTCAACTGTGCTTTAATTTGCCTCCAACTTATTGATTGCTTATTTTTTGCTCATCTCCTGAACATTTGTCGCCTTTTGATCGTTCACTAACTGTTTCGATCAAATTTTTGTGTCATTCTCATCGTTAATTTGTTGTTTTACCCTCTTACTGATTGTTATCGTCATATTTTCATCGTTTTTTTCCTTCTCTCTTCATTAAAAATGCTTCCAATATTATCTCAAAGAAAACCCAAAATGCTGAATATTTGTGGAACTTCAAGGCGACCCAACAATCGTGGACGTTTAGGCTGCTTTACTAGCCTAAAAGCTGCTTGGACTTTGGCTAAGATTCTTCATTAGAAACCTTTCAAGAGAGCGAGAGTGAAAAGAGGTGAGCGAGTGTGTGAGAAAAGATAGAGAGAGAGAGAGATTCAACCATTTTCACCAGTATTCCAAATTATTTCAACCAACCAGATATCCAGATTAAATTCAATAGTCCAGTGAAAGTCCATCCTTGATTGTGTGGTCAGGGCAGAGAGAAAAACTTGACTCTTTCAAGCTGTTCATTTCACCTGACTTCTCCTCAGTCATCTTTTACTTTCTCTCTGCCCTTCCATCAGCCTTAACTAGCATCTAAGTCCCTTTTCATCGTCTCCGTCTATTACTTCATCTCCGTCTTTGTCTTCAGTAACAATCCAATAACATCCCATGAACAGTCAATAAACCCACCACTAACATAAACATAAACATCTACAAATTTCGCTGCAATCCGTCTCTATCTCATTTCTGTCTCTATTTTTGGTTTTCTTGTCATCTCTGTTTTTGTTGAAATCTTGAAAAGATATATACAATTATACATATATACATATTGAAACAATAAGAAATACAATATACAAAATACACAAAGATATAACTCGATTAAAAACGCAAAAATACATATCTTAATCCTGTCGATCACCATCTTCACTCGTAACCGACATCAACTGTGCAATTGAAATAACCAAATCTTAGCTGAAAAACATTTCTCTTTGAGTTCTGGGATTTTGGAGTTGAAATTTTCACCTTTTCTCCATGGATTAACATTAACATACATTCAAGACGAGTAATTAAATTTAAAATCGTAATATTGTTCACTAACATGTCGTTGATTCGGTCAACTTGCTGTGGACTTCAGCCAAATTGGTTTGGCGGATGGTTCAAGCACTGTGAGCCACCGGAATGTAAGCTTTCATCTAATGTATTAAATTAATTAGTTGATGTTAGCCTTACAATTTTGTTTTTTTTTAATTTTAAATTATATCAACTTATTGCTTTCTTATTACTCTCATTTTTATTAACATTATTATTGTTTTGCATTGAATCGCATCCCATTGTTTTCACCATTTATCATCTGTTTCCCTTGATAAAGACAATTATATTTCAAATGTTACTTTCGCTTTTCAAATTTTTCATCCTTTTCGTCTATTCATTCATTGTCTTGATTACCTTCATTTTGTCTCATTACCTAAATTATCACTGGTTAATGCTTCAATTGTTTTCGGTGTTAATCAAAGATTCATTTATCGGTGTTAACCCATTCAAGTATCTATTCAGTGTTATGTCGTGTTACAAACCAATCACAATTTTAATTACAATTCAAAATGTATCCTTGACTTAATTTCCTCTGTTTATCTCTGTTGCATTGTCATTCAAAATGTGAATCCAGATAAACTGAATTCTGGTTGGAAAAACAATTCCTAAGTAAAAACTATGATTTCAGTGATTGATTGATTAAACATGTTCCTTTCCCTCTCTGATTAATGGCAATAATTGTAACAATAATCTTTAAATACTCCTCCAAGTCTTTAATTGTTAACTTAGCTTATCACGAACTTCAAAAATGATGAAAAGTTACAACAAGTTTCCGAGACCAAATTATATCAGATAGTTTCACCATGGAGCCTCATTTTATATTTTTAATCAACTTTCCGGTTCTTCTCCTCGCCCCTTCACTCATCAAATCAACTTTGCGTTAGGCGCTTCAATAAACATTACAATACATTTTCATTGATATTATTGAAAACTTGACTGTGAGCTTCAATTTTTATCAATTTAACAATCATTTGACTCTTCAGATTTTTCACCCTCAAACATGGTGAAGCTTCCGTTGCTTCTCTGTTGATCAAATAAACTTGTTTATCGTTTTTACAGTCATCTTAATTAGACATTTTGTCTTCATTTATCCACACTTTTCTGACTTTTCCAGTCATTTTTATTCCTCTCTATTTTTGGCCGAAACTTTTCATCTTTCCAAGTTTCAATTAGTCCTCACATTGAGAAGATAAATTTAGTTTTTATTCCCAAATGAGAGACAAAGCTCATGTAGACTCCTGTAAACATGAATGAATATTTCAACATTTCCACTCTTCTCTGATTCTCTTGCCAATCTAATCATGCCAGGTTGCCCTACTGGCTATCACAAGATGCTATTGTAGGTCTTCACCTTTAAATATCATATTTAGCAAGCAAATTTTGTTTTCCCTCAAAACTAATTTACTATTTTTGTCCTTTCATCTGTTTCTGTCAACTTGCAAGGTGATAATTATCAATTTTATTCACAGTAAAACATTGTATACATATTTTAAAAAAATGTTATCAATTATGTGTGTGTTCTGGTGACGGAAATGTCTCTAAATAGTGTTGAAACGCCTTTTCCTTCCTCACCCTTTCACCTAACCTTTGTCAATCGAAGAGGATTCCAAAGGCTTCCATATCCGCTCAGAATAAAGTTCACCCTCATCCCTCTCTCAATCTCCCACTCACCCTCTAATCGACAATTGGAAGCCGTTTTCAGCTAAATCACTATTTTTGTCTGTCTTTTATTTTCCCAAATTGATTTATATCGCTTCCTTCAAGTGACAATGCAAAGAGGCTTGATAACTGAATACTTTTGCCTCTAGCATCTACGTTCTTGTCTCTTGTCAGTTGATTATAAATCTTGACTCTAATGGATATTTTGTTTTCCATCTACAATAACATGGCTTCACTCACCTTTTATACCTATCTTTAATTGATAAATTAATACACCTTTTAACAATTGTATTTAGTTACAGCTTAACTCAGCAATAATTACTCTCCTAACTATTACCAACTCTTATTGAATTTAATCAGTTTGAAAGCAAATACAAAATACAACAAACAGTATAACCAAGAGAGTGCAACCCAAAACCCAAAATAAATCAATGATTGAAGCTTGAAAAGTTTGAATTTTCTGGTTTATTTTGTTTTGTTTATATCTTCTGTAACAATTGGTAATTTCAATTCATTAGATTCCCATCAATATAATTAATAGTATTTTCACCATATTTAACAACTCCCATGACCAAAACAGAAACCAATTTCACTTTCAATTTTGATTGATATTTACATTGTAATTCAATTGATAACAAACTGTTAGTATCAAGTCAATGACTTACCTTTTTCGACCTCATTATTGGGTGAAAAAAAGTCATGATAACTTTGCCATACTCTTATATTTAACAATGAATAAGTTTCAAGTTTTCACCTTCATTTCATTGTTTCCTCAATTGAGTTAAGGTTAACACCATATAACACTAAAAACATGAAACAAATGACCATGCATTAGACAATATTATTTATCTCTTTTAATCTTGAATACTCTGTAAACTCATAACGTGCTTTTTATCACCCAAACACACCTAGTATTGATCAATAATTGTCCTAGAAAACTTATTAACTATAAAAGGTTGACTCACAATGGAAGGCCTAATGTATTTTTAAATACAGAAACCACCTTAATGCATCTATTTTTTAAATTGATAACCCAATTCTGGTTAATTGCCATCTATCAAAATTGAAATGTCAATTGACGCTTTATTAATTGTTTTTCATCCCTGTTTTAGTCAATCAAAACATGTAATCAGATAGGACAAAAAGTCCAATAATAAACAGTTTATTGATCAATATTTAGCAAAAAAAAGTTAATCAATCACGCAAATCACCGATAATTTATGAACTGTTTTCATGCCAGCAAAAGGTTGCTTTAAATTGTTGAAAAATGTAAAGCTGCCTGTTGAATAGTGTAAATAAGCTATTTAAAGAGCTCTTTTGGTATTGTTTACAAAAACAATTGTTTATAAAAATTTTCATTTTCTGGTTGCTTTTTCATTTATTTATTGCCATATTTATTTTCAACTGATTTACATTTTGCTTGGTGCTTTATTAATTGTTTGTAATTTAATACACAATTATTGTTGAATTGTATTTCTAATTCAATTGTTTCTTCTCATGACAGGTTGCTGTGGTTGCTGCTCCGCTTTGCGGCCTCGATATAAACGCTTAGTTGACAATGTTTTCCCAGCCTACCCTCAGGTAATTATATCAACAATATGCTCGCTGATAATGATTAAGCATTCAATCAATCAATTTTATCTAACCCTCATGATTCCGATAGACAATTGTTTCAAAGGTTCATTAATGACCCAGATCTTTGTTGATCAAATTATATTATCAAATAATATTCACATGAATATTTTGTCTTCACTTTAAACCCTAGCATCTATTGTTAATCTCATAACTCATAAGTTAATTATAATTATGATTATCAGCATTATTTCAGCCACTCTTTCAATTTTTACTCGTTACTCTTTTCCATATCTTTTATTCCATCATCATCTTTGTGACAAGTTTCATCTTCATAATTTATCTCTATTTTTGCGTAGGCTAGTTTTTTATAGCAAAAGTCTTCAGTTCTTGATTTACTTTTTTCCCCCTGAAATCTCTTTCCATCATTTTCCAAATCTTCAATTTCAATAAACCATTTCAAGCCTTTTTTTTATTTTCATAACCTTGTTATTTTGGCATAAATGTACAATATATAACAGGCCAGTTAATTTTGCAAAAGCCAACCTAAATCAATGAAGATGTGTTTAAGTTTATCAGTGACAGTCGTCCTCGATTGGGTTGCTTTTAAAAATCAAATTAAACAAGCTTAAAATAATATTTCCTTGCATTTTCATAGATAATTGTATGAAATGAAAAAGCTTGAAAGGCATAAAAAAATTAACTGTTAATGAAAGCGTAGCAAATAAATCAACACAATGGTTATAATAAAAACTAATATAAGCAGACCAATCAGTCAAATCACTGATAATGTTTCTTCCACTTATTTCAGGGCAATGTTTCTTGTCATGCAAAATTGACAGCTTTGTTTGCTTAAATGATGCCAATGTTTTCTCATTTCACTTTTTCTTCCTTTTTCTGTTTTCCATTATTTCACTTTCTCTCTCTATTGGCCTTAATTTCAGGATGGTTTGGTCAAAAGTAATATGGAAAAGCTTACCTTTTATGCTTCATCCTCACCAGAAAAGCTGGACCGAATTGGTGATTATTTGGCCCAAAAAACAGCTCGGGATCTTGCCCGGCATCGAATGGAGTAAGTTTGTCAGAATCATTGCATTAATGGTTTCCATTAGATTTTTGGCTTTCCTTCAATTTTTATGGCCCTTGGTTATTGTTTATATTAATTGAGTGAACAAATATAATCAGGATAAGGCTTAATTCAATTATTTAATCTTAACCCATATTTTAACTGTTTCTCATAGATTTGTCAAACTTGCTATGGAAGTTATGGATCAAATATTAGTTGCGTGTCGAGCTCAATCACTCAATTTGTTTGTTGAAAGCTTCCTGAAAACTGTACAACAATTATTGGAAAGTCAGGATCCTCACATGCAACTTTTAGCGACCCAATCGGTAATCAAATTATCTTTTTCTGATGAAATTTTGTTTAATGCAATGAAAATTTACTCTAACTTTCATTTTTCATTTTCTTTGCCCTCTACAGTTCGTTAATTTTGCCAATATCGAAGAGGATACTCCATCCTATCATCGAAGATATGATTTCTTCGTTTCAAAATTTTCAGCTCTTTGCCATAACAATGACAATGATGAAAATATACGCCGTATGTTACGGATAGCTGGTCTCAATGGCATTAAAGGTGTAATCCGTAAAACAGTTTCCGATGATCTTCAAGCAGACATTTGGGATAAAAATCACATGGATAAAATAGTTCCATCTTTACTTTATAATATACAAGATCGTGACATTTTAGCCGATCTTAAAGCAAATGGATCAAAATTGTATGAAAATGAGCAAAATCCAGCCAAGATTGCTGAAGTTTGTCTGAGAGAGCTTGTTGGTCGAGCTTCATTTGGTAACATTGAATCTGTTATTAGGCCTGTATTAAAGCACCTTGACAATCATATGTTATGGGACTCTTCGTATCCGGACGGATTTGCTCCAGTTATTTTCAAAATCATCATGGACTCAATACAACCCCAACATTACCATGAAGTGATACAAAAGTTGATGAATCATTTGGATGAAAAGTGTAGAGCCACAATGGATGATACAGCAATGAAAACTCGCGAGAAAACTGGCATTGTTAATGTACTTTCACAGATTGTTGCTATTGCAGCATCAGAATCGATAGGACCATCAGTACATGTGACAATAAACTCTTTGCTTAATCATTTGCGAAACTCCATTCATAATTGTGAGAACGGAATGGAAAGTACAGAAGATGAAAAACGATTCCAAGACTCGGTTATCAACACTTTAGCCGAGTTTGCAAATAACTTGCCCGATTTCCAAAAAATTGAGACCATGGTCGTAATTATAAATAAAGTACCTCCGATATCATCCAAAAACCCGGCTGATATTGAGCTTCAAGATATACTGTTGAAAAGTCTGCTCAAAGTCAGTTCCAAGTATAGAACAGTTAACATGGCTCAAGCTTTTAAATATTCATTCCTTCGCCCTCTCCTTTCAATGTCACTTGCCGCTGATGCTAAAATACGTTTGACTGTGCAATACATTTTTCACCAACTTCTTGATCGTCATGATAATCTTCCTAAACTTCTTAAACCAATATCGCTATCTGAATGTCCCGAGTTGACTATGGAAAAAGCTCAGCGACAAGATTTAATGTTTATGAGTAAACATGGTTCCGATCTGTTGATGCACATTTATGAAAATGCCAAATTTTCCAACAACACTCAGGATCATTTTGATGCCATCTTTACAACTTTAGCCCTTCTTTGTGTTGAAATGAGTTCGGAAGAGATTTTATCAGAATTATTTAGAGTAGCTTTTGCCTTACAAGACTTGTGTCTTTCCGGTAATTCAAATCCAGGAGAGTCCAGGGGATTGTCAGAAGTTCATAAGTCAGCTATCCATGGGATTGTGGCAGGATTCTTCCATCTAACAGCTGGACTTACTGCGATTCCACTCCTTTGTTCTCATGTTGAGCAAATAATTGCACTGCGAGGAGAAAAGTGCCCAAACATGTTACCCGAATACCATCACCTTTGTAAAACTGCATTTTTTGAACCGGAAAAGGAGAAGAAAACGCCTGATGAAATACCAGAAGAACTATTATTCAGTAAAAGTATCGTTGCTGAATCTTTGAGGAGCAGTGGTCATGATACTACCCGTTTATTAACACCTTTTGTCTCGAACAACGTCGGTAAGTTGAGCTTTCATATCAGTTTATCCTTAAATTATGCGTTTTATTAACTCAAGTCTTTATTTTTTCAGTTGTTGACGCAAGTATGTCTCGAAGTGCCAGTGATTTGAATTCAATAAATGTTGAAGTTGACAGTAATAACTCTTCCCCAAGGGCTGTTAGGGTATGTTTAAATCAGTCGTAAAAATCTGTTTAAGTTTATCCTGATTTATAATGCAAAAAATCTTATTTATTTTTTTTCAGCGTTTTCCTGGTGAAGATATTACATTTGAATCGATCCGAAGGATACTTTATGAACCTCCTAGTGTTGCCAATGAATTACGAGAAGAGAGGCGTCTTCAGATTCTCGAAAGATTTGAAACTGAATCTTTTGAATCCTTAATTGCTCAAACTGAAGACAAGGTTTGTGTATATTTTTTTACATTTCATGTTTATAAATTTTATTAATGTTATTTTTTTATAATCTCTTTTTACAGGGACTTAATTTCCAACATCAATTGAATGATATTTTCAATCGCGTGATGCATGATGAAAAAATCAATGTGAAGATAAATGAAGTTTGTTCAGAAAAAATTGAGATCACAACAAACCCGTTTGCTGGCTTATGTAATCTAACAATCAATCCAAGGAAACCACCGTTATTTGCTGTACAATTTCCGGAGCTGTTCGTTTGTTGAACACAAAACGAGAGAATTCAAATGAAAAATGTTTTCATTTCATCTCCATTCAAGTCACCTTAATATATATATACATGAATAGCTCAAAATCTTGATATCTCTTTGAGAATACAAATGTTATGACCTCGTCAATCCGCTCTACTAAAGCAAATCCCACTTTTCCTTCTCAAAATCATTCCCTCTTAACTTGCACATATACCTCTCTAATATTCATTTGGATATTCAGATTTTAGATTATGAATCAAAATCATCATTTCATGGAGGAATCTCTCTCTCTCTCCCTATCTTCTCTCTCGCTGCGAGAGTCTCACACACTCGCTCACCTAATCTCACTTTCATCTCATATTTTCATTTTTCTTACTTTTCAACTTCCCAGTCATGATAGTTACTTATAATTACTAACCGTACTCACACTCATTTACTATCTAATCGAATTACAATTACAATATCTAACAGGTATTGAAAGGTCATCTCTTACTTGTTAAGAGATGACCTTTTTAGGGCATGGATAGCTCCTCTTGACTAAAAAATATGTTTACCTCTTTAATATCACTTCTGGAAAGAAGGGAAAAGAGGTAAACACAACAAAAAAATGAAACTAACCCATTGAAATAGATTTCAGGTTCAGAACAAAACAGAAACCTTTCTCTATGTAATTTAATGAGCGCTTATATCAGTTATCACATTATCTAATTTAAACCTTTCTTTTGATTTTCATGATAATCTTGAAACAAGTAATCATTTATCTATGTTTAATGCTTTTCCAACGCACGATTATTGTAACACTTGAAATATCATTTCTAAATTTTACACCCAACTGTTTCATTTCACCGTTAAACAGTTTTAATATAAAATAGTCAAAATTGTTAATACTTTAATTTGTTAAATTGTTTGTTTTAATCTAGATAAATTTACAACTTTCAAGATTGTCTCTATTATTTAATAGTTGAATATTTTCAACAGAGCTAAGTTTTAACTTGACACATACAAACATAACTCTCAAATATTCAATTAAACTTAATGAAAACAAGCAACGATTATCAATCATCATCATCGCCCCTTTCATCATTATCATCATAATAAAGTAAATCATCAAGAGAAAACGTTGATTAAGTTAATTTTAAGATTCAACTCTTCTTGTTTTGTCCCCTTCAATACGAGCAATACTTGATTAACCAATAGGCATATCAATACTTCTCGACAATTAGATATTGACTTATTTGTATTTCTCATTATTGTCACCATTTCTTGGAGCAAATCAATCAAGTTAATCATTGCTTATTACATTATTGCTTCAATGTCTCTTTTTCGTTGTTGTTAACCTTTACACGTTTCCTCTTTTAATTCTTGATTAACTTAATCACTCTCTCAATTTTCACAAATTGCTCTTTTCTTCTCAAATATAATAGTCTTTCACACTTTTTTGTTGGCCTTTTTGTGACATTTTGAGAGTCGATTGGAGACAAAATAATTACTTTTTAAATTTGCTTCACATGTCTAAAGTTGGTGCATTAGATATCATGATTACTTTCATGATCATTATTATTGACATGACATTCGATGATTAGCTTTATTGATGATTAACTCTATTCATGATTTAGCCGCATCAACAATACCTCAATGGCTATCCAAGCTATTGAACCTTCAACCTTTATTTTCCCAAAAATCCTTGTTTTGATTAAAACTCCCTACAATTTTGACAATCAACAAATCTTTCTGTAACCTTTAATCGTTGAATGACCAACAATATTATTATGAATAATTCCTAATTACAATTATTCCTATTATTATTATTTACCTCTACAAATTTATTGTCTCAACGAAACCTTAATGCGATCAAGATCAAATAAAATCAATAGTTGAGAACCATTCAAAACGTTTCTTCTTACATTCATAATTGTATTTTTATGGTTATGTTTAACCATTGGTGGATAATTAATAGAAACTTCAATTGTTCATGAGTTAGCCACTGGAATTGATTAAGTGTTGTCTAAAGATGATATCGATTATTGAGTGTTTCATTAATTTCAATGCTTTGTTGCTTGACATGTTTTTACCATGTTACTCAGCAATTGTCAAAATACAAGTTGAATACAATTGATAACATCATTTTATTGGATTTAAATCAAAGATTTGAAAAATGAATTCATGTAAAATATAAGAGATAATTATAATAAGATAATTTAAAGGCACAAAAGGAGTTAATATAAAGCAGTTAATTTAGGTAATCGATCCAAGTTGAAATCAATTTGACTCCTCTGTGAGATCGGTTGAAGAGTGTATAGATAATTGTAAGCAAAAGTGTGTCAGAAGATAAATTAAAAAATGTTTGGTTAAATTGAAGATGGCAGTGGAAAGTGTGGACAATAACTTGTGACCAGGATTACAATATAAAAAAGAGGTTAATCCCCTCTTATAAAAGCCTACAAAACTCATGACAAATGACAAAAAGGTTAACAATAATCTTATGTTTGATCATGTACGATCCCAGAAATGGTTAATAGTTAATTAGCAAATCAACTCTTGACAATTTATAGCATCCTTTCCAATCATTCCACCCAGCCAACTAGTCAGATGATTTAGACAATACATATGGCCAAGTATTTGATTAGCTTTTCATGAAACTGGCTTGCATCATTTAAATTGCTACAATTTAATCCATCGTTCGTAAATTGATGAGGTGAAGAGTAAATAACTATTTGATATTCATAAATTAGTAACACTTTTCCAATCGATTATAAATACAAGATAAACTGGTGTTTGAGCGGTTTGTAGTTCACAAGATTATTTAGGTGAACTCTGCGTCATCGGGTCAGAAAGGTGGGTAGATTTGCAGATCAACTGTTGTTATACTCATATCTTGTGGCATGGATTGCTGGATATCTCGTCGTTGCTTTTGTCCTAGTGATATTATTATACAGTCCCAAAATCAGCTGATGTCTATTGTTTCGTCCAGAGGAATAATCTGTAGATTTGAATATAATAAGGTTTACGGAAGAGAATTGAAGACTGAGAATCTTGAATTGAGATCCTGTTGCTGCAATTGTTGGCAATCGTCTTAATGAAATTCGTCATCAAGAAAGGTAAATTGATTGCATAAATTATCATTCAGAGGTTAATGTAACTTATGAATATTGAATGATAATCAATATTTTAACAGATGAATGACAATGGCTAAAGGAATTTGATTCAGTGTAAAATAAGAGGTTAATCAAAAATTTCGTTTGATGTACATGGCGAATGCAACAGAACCAAGAATGGCACAGACTGTGATTGCTGTTCCTTGAACAAAATTTGAAATTACTTTATTCCATCCTCCTTGACTTCTTACCAATGAACAAATGTGACTGAAAATGAATTTAAGAGACCATCCAATCAGTTTATGGAAATGAGCAACTGGACTTGAGGAATAAGCGCGAACAGCAATGTCTGAGCAAAAGAAGAAAAGAACAACAATCCTTTCTCGAGTTATATGATTATCGGGAAATAGTCCTTTTAGCATGGCACTGAATCTTTCGAAGGAATCAATTCTCAAATTGACACTTCGTGCTCGCCGGCGAATTTTTTCACGTTCACTTGAAGCTTCAATTTTGGCAGCAATTCGTCTCAAATCTTCTCCAACACTAGTCAGCATCTGCTCAGCACAAACTTCATAATGACTGAGGAAGTCAATTGTGGATTCCGGTGGGCGAATACCTTCATTAAAGAAGGTGCGATGGTAAATATCACTAAACACCATTTGAGCGGTTGCCGCAGTTTCATCATAAGGCAAAACAATTTGCTCGGGATCTTCTCCACCGCGAGTGATGTATATTTGCTGCTGAGGCGATCCATCTTGGTCAGTTTCCTCAATACGAATTCCAATAGCCATTGCTTTGAACACTTAAAACTAAAATGACAATAAACAAATCAAAAACAAAAAGTTAAATAAGTTGTTATCTTTTATTGTATTAAGACAAAAAGTAAGTGAAGCAATGAAAAGTGTTTTTTAACTCCAACTAAAGCCAACCTTAGATGGCGACACTGCTCCATTGTCGGTTCCTACTGTTCTCAACTTCTTGTTTATTTCAAATCAGTTTTAGTTTGTTTTTTTATCCATGATGCAATTTTCATTTTTGCGCACCTAGTTGGGCTTTATTAGAGCATCAAAAATGAAATAATCAAAGAACAGGCCTAAGTTGAAGTGACTCAAACAAAATTGCTGGTCAAGCCACCTTAGTTGGGTTACAAGGGAATTTTCAAGGCATTCAACTCTTGGCTATGAATTAAATTTTTCATTCTGAATTTTTAATTGTGATATAACTGTTTTTAAAGATGCATTATCGGCCAAGTAACCTTTTGCCTTCTCGATTCTAAGACCGAATAAAAAAGTCAACTTCGCTCATATTGCCGATTCTCTTGTTGTCATTTCATCAAAAATTATGAAAATTTCTCTAATAACCCAATATTTATTCAAGAAAAACAAAAGTCTTTTTTGACTCAGATTCGATACTAAAGGCGATTATATGGTGGCGTACTTTTATAAGCGCGGTGCCACGTTACGCGTCAATACAAGAATAAATGTGATTCTTCTTCATCTTTTGTGTCGATTCTTCAAGAAATAATCATGACGGGTATAATTGATAATGAGTCAAACCAGGTGAAATGAAAAGCTGACTACAGTTTAATTTCATGGGGGGAAATATTTTCTCCATTTGTTTAATTCAAGGTAAGTATTTAAGCATCTGTGAATCATTGCAATCAATTCCGAATGGATATCGACCTCTAATCGTTTCCAGTGTAAATTCATCTCCGCTTGGTGTCGAGATAAAGTCAACTCGCTGGGCTTCCTTATAAAGTTCACTAACAACTTGAATCAACTTAGTTGAAGGTTCATATTCATTTTGGGTAACCGAGCTGAAGCTAATTACCAATATTAACCAGAAGCAACTGAATGAGAGTGAAAAAGAGCAACAATTAGGCAATTAATCAATATTGAAATGCATAAAGATTGGAAATGGTAAGTAAAGGAAACAGGAAATTATAAGAACATCGATAATTTTGCCTCGATTTTCCCCTTTTCAATGACAGGGAAAGATTTGAACAGAAAACATAAGTGAAAATTAAGTGGATTACATGGGACTGATTGAATGAAACAAATGGCGAGGAAGGAATCCGTTGATGTATCAATTTGAAAGAGGATTAAATAAAGAAATGATTTGATGATAAATAAAGGTGAAAGATTATAAGATATTTCATGAAATGTTTTAGGGTAACAGGGTAAGAAATCAACAGTAAAATATGCAGACAAGACTGAGCTTGGAAAGATTCTGATGATAATGATGGTGAAATAATTTCATGTTTCTTTTTCTTTCAATTGAAAGGATAAGAGAATGATTTATTTTTAATCCAGTTTATCTGCAAACATCATTATTTACCTGAAAAAAAACATGATCAATCTCATGGTTTCTTCCGGATGTAACATTTTAAACCTTGATGTGGGCTCTTTCAATGACATCACCGACTCGGTTAAATCACCTAAATACCAATATGAGACTAAATCAAGGGTTAAAAAATTGATTAATCGTAATATATGAAAAGTCGAGTCGACATGAAAGTTGATCACAAAATCCTACCTGTCAGATATAAATAATATGAGCTGCTTTATTGTCTTTCCTTGGTAGACTATCACCTGATTTTCAGCCAGTTCCAATCTCATCACATCATCATAGAATCCTACATAATTGGAATCTTGCATTCCACCATAAACACTGAACCATGCCATTGGTTCTCCTTGTTCACCAAAACTTTCATCTGGTTCACATTCAAACTCATTAGTCAAACTTTGACTCGAAATTTTCCTCTCCATTCTGACCCATCATCAAATATTTCACCCCACTCCAGCTGAGGGAAGAGGAAGTGGGCCAGAGTGGGCCAGTTTTATGCTACTCTTGGCCATCAATTTATAATGTCGAGCATAAACTTGAGCTAAATGCCTAGAAGACATAAATGAAAAGATGAACTTACAGCAATACCAAAAGTAAAAATCAAAAATAAAAGTATGGATAAGCTATACGGCATGACAATCATGACCAGGTCCATTCTTGTAGCGTCATTCCAACTACTCGGACGATGTTGATTGTCTATCTGATGTTTATGTTTAGGCATAAAAACAGATGAAACACGAAAAGATCACAACCAAGTTACATGGTGAACAAGGAATCATATTGAAGGCGAACTGAAGTAGATTGGGAAATATTTTACTGTTAAAGATTTGATACAACTGAATCAATAATTAAATACAATAAAATTCATGAAATAGAAAATAAAATTTCAATGATAATAATAAAGATGATGAAGCAGAATGAAGATGAATGTAAATAAACAAAAGTGTAAGTTTTAAAATCTGGTTGACTGTTGAGTCAAAGGTTTGTTTGGTTACAAAATGGTTTATAAAATGGGTTTTATTTGAATAGGTTTGGTTGGTTGTTCCAGATTTTAAATTTAATTTCAACACCTGGTTAATATCGATAATTAGATTTCAAGTTTTTCATTTATTTTGTTGAAATAGAAATCATTTTTTTGTGAGCAATTGTCATCATTTTCATTTTACCAACAATTCACTTTTCATTGACTCAACAGTGACTTGGCGCTTTACTACAATCAAGGGTTTCTTTGGTAAACATATCGATCCATTTTACCTGATAACGTCTATTCCCAGTTAACTAACGTCTGCGCAATTAAACTCGTAGCCAGCAATTCAACTAAAATTATTATAACTATCATCGTTATTATCATCAAACTCCTTCCCAGTGAGAGAATCAACAGTTTGACGTCAAATAAGGATGATAAGGCTTATTCAATGAATGAAATACACACTGTGTATTACCTGAAATCCTCTGTAGTTTTATCACCAGGAGGAACATGAAATAACCAGAAAGTATGAAAAATGTCTCATGAATAAAGACAGTTGTGATTGAGTACAATCTGGCTTATGAAACCAATAAAATGAATGAAAACCTTCAAACCTGATTGTTAACACCAAGTATTCAATCAACTTTTAGATAACTTTGTCTTAGCAATATTTCAGTGAATTTAAGAGGAAATCAATTAAAAAAGGAAACCACTAATTTAGTAAAAGTAATTATCCAAATTAATCATTGAAATATCAATAAAATTAACATCAATACGTATTGGTGGCTTTGAATGAAAATGCATGTGAATGATTGAGTCAAATTTAATTCAGTTCATAATTTATTGAGAACCAATTTTAATTAAGAAATTTAACTCTCACAATCAAACTGTCTTTAAACACTGTAGTGAAAATAAGAGCAAACTTGTCAAAATTACAATTAGAAAAAGATTAAAAATTGAATTTGTAAAAAAATTAGGTGAGATGAAGATGATTGTGATTTACTTGCCATCATAATCATCTTGATTTAAGCTTCGAATTAATATTTGATGATTAAGCTGAACAGATTAATCAAAATGTTGTCTAATTTCGCTTGTTTTTGTGTTCATCCTTTTTTTTGCTCCACTCATTGTAATCGTTTCGGAGTTTTTGCTGTTGGTAACAGTTGAATGATACCAATGCGAGGCGCATATAATGGTGAGGTGATGAAAAAGACAAGCATTCAATACAAGATAATTAACGTCGAATTGGACAAAAAGTTTAAGTAAAAATTTGCTGACAATTAGATTGGGAACAATCAACGATCGAAAAGTAATGAACTGGCCTTTTAGGCAATCTTTTGAACATAAATTGAATGAATTAGATTCATTCGATAATTTACTTTAAACTTTGGTTTCCTCTTTTATAAGGTAGTCATTGAAATCAGAATTTCTCATAACCAAGGAAGAGAAGAGTTAACTTTGACTTTTGCGCTTCCAAAGAATCGTCTTTATCATCGCCAGTTATTTCTGTAAGGAGATTATTCAGAAAAAAATGTGATTAAAGGTGAGAAATGAAATAGAAAATATGCAATATCGAAAGCAGTTCCTAGTCATTCATGATACATGATTAATGGCTGCGTTAATGAAAAATTCTATATGAACTGAATGGCTCCTGAACACATTACCAAGATCAATAATTGATTTACGAAAAAATAAGCTTTTGATTTGTCAAAATCTAAACTTAAAAAATTCACTTCTAAGCTTCAAAATGAGTGATTTCAGTAAATTTTCCGAAAAAATTACTGAATTGTCAAATTAGTTGCTTCGATTATGACAATCCATCATTCGAGACACCTTCTAGAAGACTAGGTTAATTGGGTTAAATTGGAGATAACTCGGATACTTTTTTTAAATCAATTACATGTTCCTTGTCTTGTGTTATTGTTCAGATTGAGCATCATGTTATTCAAATGTTGAATAAATCATTTACTTGGAAGCTGCTGGCTTGTAAAATAAACCTAAATTACCTTTAATCTCGTTTTGTCCATCAACTGACAATGCTTCCACGATTTGTGGCTCTTGATATAATTGAATGGTGTTTCTATCGAGCATTTCTTCGTTTACTCCATAATTTCCGGCATTAAGTAATTGATAGTTTTCATTGATGGGCTGTTTCGGTGAAACTACCATGATTCCATATTCTTGGTCTAATGAGAAAAGAACACAAATTAGTAGAAGAACCCAAATGTTTAGCTTTGATGGATGAGCTTTTAAACTAGATGAACCTAGATCGGCTGACTGATAACTGATTTTGGCAGTCAATTGCGAATTGTGATATTCTTTATTCCAACTCGTAATTGTTTTTTGGTATGGTCTCACCTTTTTCAACAGGTTGTCTTATTCGACTCACTGGCTGTCCACCTCCTTGATTCCCAATCACATAGGCTGTTGGGACGTAAGCTGAAATTGGCTGGTCAACTCTTTTCCTCTTCTTCTTTGTCTCAGTAATGACTGGCCTTTCTTCACCTTCATCCTCTTCATCGTCATATTTACTTCTTGCAACAATTCGCTTCTCTTTAAGACCAACTTGATCCTTTAAATTGCGTCCACTCACAATTATAACAGGCCTTGAAAAGGTCTCAGCGCCCTGGAATTGGGTAGATGAATCCGATGGCGGTAACATAAAATTTGTAACTGATCCTCCATGTGCAGTACCATAGTCATCTTCTAGAAAGTAGGATTCGTCTTCTTGAAAAATATTGCTTTCAGAAGGATCGTCTGGTTGACCAAGGGAAACACAAACCAGACCAAGTATAATAAATCCGAGTAAATGGGTAAACAATTGCATTTTAACAAAAGAACGATGAAAACTATAAAACAAAAATATCAACACAGTACGAACGAGACACGAGGATTTTAAGGTGCTGTTAATGTTATTAAATTTATAAATTAATTCTATTTAGTAAATCATGATAACTAGAAAAAGGTGTAAATGAAATGTGAATGTTGAAATAATGAAGAAGTAATCCGTTCTTGTTGATGTTTGCTTTCACCGCTTACTAATGAAGTCATCACCATGACTCTCTCTTTTATAAGTAAACGTTTTTATCTCAACAATGTCTCCTTCCTTTTTTTAAGTCCACTCTTATTGTTAGTTAGATTCAACAGTTTTTTTGTAACAATTTATTTTGTGTTCACCCTTTCATTCAATCTTATTTTTTTCTGGTTTTTATGTCTCTTCCATGACCGTCTTATATTGACAAAAAATGGTGACATCTTCGTTTAGAAAATACTGTTTATTTGGAAGCTAATAGGTTAAACGGAACCAAACGTTAATTCCTGTAAGGTTTATTTATGTGTAACATTATCGGGATTCAATTGAAATTGGCACCAACTGATGCTGAAGACGGTAAGTAAAATGCTATTAATAAACAAATGACCAAGCCAACAATTAATTTACATAAATTTGACTTGTCTAGACACACTTTTTGCGTTGGTAAAAAAATTTCCAATTCAAATCATCTCATGAATCTCTTATATCTTCTGTTCATTTTAGGAAATACTATCGAGCGATTTAAAGAAGGATTGAATTCATCAGCCAGAATGTTTCAAGTTAAATTTTTTCGGAGTTTCAAGGCAACATGTCAATCCTTTTGTATCCGAGAATCTATCAACTGAATTTCCAGTTCTCTAAAGGTGAATCCAAATTACTAGAAGGTGTAACTTCAGGATTGTCATTCTTCAGTTTGCCATGGCATCAGATACAAATGGATACATTCAGCAAAAGTTTCAAATTTGCACATCTGAAGTGACTTTATATTTGCTGTTATTCCTAAAGTATGCCTGGAAATTTCATTTCTGAAATGGTCACAATTATCTGCTCAAATAATTTCCAGTTTACTAATTAAATTAGCCTTTGCTACATATTAATCTTTGAGCTAAATTAATGAAATAAGCCATTAATATGATTAAAATTTCTGACTTTGTCGTTAATTTGACTTGAAAAATGATTTAATAAGACATTTATTGTAACGATAATGTTCATTAATATTTATAACATTGTTGAAATTTAAGCAATTTTGTTTTTAATTTTTGTCATTTCCACTTTTTTCTTTACATCTGTAAGCTTAAATTGTTCAAACTGTTCTGATTTATATTTTTTCATTGTTCATCATTCACTACCTATTTAAGTGTCAGTTTATCCCTTAAAAAATTACAGCCAAACAATTAAGCACCTCATCTATTCAAGCTGTTTTTTGTCCTGAGACTCATTGTCATCGAAATCGTATAAAAAATTAAGATTATTCATCTCTCAAGCCAAATAATTACCAACTCTTTCATCTAATAATTTACTGAAATTTAATTGCTATGTATTACTGGAATGGTCCAGATTAGTCTAATCTAAAATTGAAAACCGAGACGATATTCACCTCTTTAGTATTGTATTTTGGTACATTTGAATTATTGAATGAAAGGAGCAAAATTAAATTTATAGCAATGATTTTTATTAACCATAAAATAAAATTAAGCTATCAGTTGATTTAGTCACTTATTTTTCAATAGATCTGTTGACAATCTGTGATAATACATTAACAGAATTGGAATAACTGTCATCAAACAGGTTGATCTTGTCAACTTTTTAATCGACGGTCTTTAAGAACGTATTTATCATCAAATAAAAGGTCTACTTAAAAAGTAGAAAAGGTCAAGATTTGATTTTGTTTTAGGTAACAAAGCAAAGGGAATCAAAAGTATGATCACTTTTACTCTTGTTTTACATTGTAATTTGTAAATCGTTTTAACCATCATTTCATTTAAAAAACTCTATGGAGTATTTGGAGTAAACAGTAAAAGCGATTCATCATTCAGATCGGCAATCGGTCGTAGGTGGTCAGTAAGGTTTGTCTTTACACTTTTTCAATTGGACTTTAAGCCTTTTTGCTCCTATCTGAAAACCATTCATGGCCTGGATGGCGGCTTGTGCCGAGATAACATTATCATAGGAGACGAAACCAAAACATTTCGATAAATGTGTAAGTTTATCGATGAATACTTTGCTTGACAAAACACGGCCAAAAGCAGCAAAAATTTGAGCCAAATCATCATCCCTGAATTCAGCGGGCAGATGATAGATAAAAAGATTTGCTCCTTCTGGACCTTCCATGGGTTTACCACCAAGAGATAGGCTGGTCCGATGTGCGTGAAGAAGGCCAGAAGCAGCAACAGCAGCCGCAGCCGTGGCATTGGTTATGGAAGCTTGAGGAGTGGCTGTTGGATAACTATGGACTGATGTCACTGTATGGGTACCATTGGTGCTAAAAAGTAACCAGAAAAAAAACAAAAAAATAAATTTTTTCATCAAACCGAAATAGAAAGTTATTTTGAGGTTGGAAATATAAAACAATGAAAATTTTGAACTCATTTGTTATACATGTTTAATATTTAATTATGAATGACTTCCTAATTTTTACATTGTTTCAATTCAATTGGTGGAAATAGGTAATCAAAGTGTCTTACCTGGCACCAGGACAAAGGGTTGCAAGCATAACAGGATTTTGAGTTAGATTTGCAGCAGCTGCCAATGCTAATTGATCATTTCCTTGAGAAATAGAAGCTGCCAATTGCCTGCTTTGTTTAATGAAGTAAAAAATAAAACAAAATAGACATTTAAAGAAACAAATTTCAATGCAAAACGGATCTTTTTTCACATCAACTTATGAACCATTTGAAGATTCAATTGAAGCCAATTTGGAGTCACATAAAGTCACATTGAAAAATGAATGTTACTTATCAAAACATTTCCTATTTCTTTGTATCACCTTAGATATCAGGTTTCAAAGGGAGTGTTTATCATGATCAATCAAAACAAAATGTCGTAAATGTCAACGTGAATGTTTTCATTTGTAAAGTCTAGATAAAATAATCATGATAATTAGCTTCATGGCATCTAAAAGCAGTGATCTAGTGACCACTTTTGCCCCTCTTAAAACCACTCAAACGTTTCAAACTGAAAAATGATAAGTTAAGTAGGTAAAAAACAAGGCAGGATAATGAGCCTAATTATGTCTGGCCAATGTAAAGGCCAAAAAAATCTCAGTAAACTCATACTTTTGTCCTAATTTTTTAAACCTTCAACGATCAGCTTTACAAATTGACTGTAATTCACTTGAGTCCATATAACTTGATAATCCTTCTTTGTGCGATTCTAGCAGATAAAAAGTATCTTTAGATTTTATCCCAACACTGAACCTTATTTTGGTTTAGAGAAAAGGTTTAGCCAAAATTAATTGTTCATCGAAGGTTTAAATGCAATTCACATGCGTACTTGTTACGCCTAAATATACATCTAAATAAACAGATAAAGAGAAGAAAATACATTAATTAGATTGTTAATTACAGCAGATTGAAAACTAAATAAAAGCCTCAAATTTACTGGAGTCTCTCCCTTCAACCTCGAGCTTTGAATAAAATTTCAACGACTTTTATGTTCAACAGTTGAAAATGTTCAAGAAAACTTAAACCCTGAATTGATGCGTAAGAATCAATTTAAATTATAATATTTTTTTTCTTTCACAATTATTTTTCTTTTTACTGCTCTGTTGATTACATTGAAATAAATTTACAGAATATTCAGTTAAATAAGTGAGCGAAAACAGTGGAGAAAAGGAAAATTCTTGCTTTACTTTCAACACACATTGAAAACTATCGATAATGGCTCAGTTAAAGAGATTATAGAATTTACTTTATGGCATGAAATAAAGTGAAAAAAGGTCAAAGTTTCCCATGATTTATGTCCATTAAGTAGGTTAGTCTATAATAAAAACATTCAATTTAAATGCTCTACCAGGTATTATATGTTGGCAATAAACCAATAGGTAAGGTTGATAAGCTGCAATAGCATGTGTCCGGTGTTAATCAAGTCAATGATTTTAGGTAATCTGCTAACACTGCAGAATTAGATTGACAAATGTTTTGATAAGTAATTCAATATTTACCGAGGACTTTAATTGGGACTGAAAATATGTTACCGCATCAACAGTTATTATTCACTTTCAAGCACAGCGGCCTTTACCGTGTCGATGTGGTGATCAATTGCTTCTCCAATGGATTCATAGAAGATGCAAAGGTGGGAAAATAACCAAAAAGCAAGCAACAAACACAAAAAGCGACATTATACTAAACATTGAAAGTTTTGTTTTCTTGAGAAACAGTTTAAACTCAAGTAATATTATAATACATTTGTAATACATGAAAATACGAGTAAATATACATTAATACTGTATCAGATTAACAGATATTCAATTGTTGCGGTACAAGGAAAGGTTATTTAATACATGGTATTAGATGAGCTCAAAAGACCAAATAAACATCAAGAAAGTATCAAATATAAATGGTAGAAACCAAATTATATCAAGTTAAAGCTGAAATAAACTTGTAACTACAGTAGTAATTGTTTAAGCTAATTGCATTTAACTTTCATTTAGTAGGTTACCAATGTAATCACACTATTAATTGTTTGAAACCTTAACCTATGAGTTCAATCAGAAATTAACTATTCAATGAAAAAAAGTGAAAAAATATTTCTATTAAATGAATGCTCAAAATACTTTTCAAGCTTATAGCAACAACTTTGATAATTGTTTAATCAATGAAGTTATCAATTCGCTGTAGAGACTGAACTTGAGAAAAATGGGAATTTCAAATGAATTTTCACAATTTTGATTGAAAATGATACAACAATTGCAAATATAACAAACATTAATTGACTAATTGAAAGATTGATAATTTTAAATGACAGGAAACGGGAATAAAACGGCCATAAATGAACATCAAACAAGATTTTTGACAACAACAATAAACGTTGTCTAAAGTTTGCCTTTGACTATAAACAAACATTAATTGTAAAAAAATTAACATAGATTTACATTGATTTTTACCTTGTTGGTTGTCAGCTGGCCTTTAAACTAGTTTATGTTAACTTTCAAGGGTTAATTTTAAAAACATGATATTGATCAGTACCTGGCAAATAAATAAGATTTACAAATTCATCTTAAGATATAACCTTTAGAAAGATTTATGTAAGTAAAATATTGATGATTAGTTAATTGAAAGGTAGAAAGAAGAAGAAAAAAGAGGAAAATTAAAAGTCAATTGGTTAATTTGCATGTAATCAAGTTTAAGTGAATTCAAGTGTATATTTGATTATGATAATCATTGAGTTACCAAATGATCAAATGTAAAGTCTCAAATATACAAGCAAAGGTATATTAAAAGGTAAATTAATTCTCACACAAGTGAAAATATGCTATTTTTTCAGGTAATCATATTATCTGAAAGGTAACTGTTGTTTGTTTCCGCATTTTTGCTCCCCTTTCGACTCATCTTATGCAAGTTATCAGTGTTTTTTCAGGGCCAACCGGTTTCAATGTTTCAGAAGAAGTTGAAGAAAAATTTACAAAAAGCAAAGACTATCAAGGAGCCTTTTTTGGACCCCTCTTGGGTTTGTAGGGAAAAAAGAGGTTTGAGAGAGAGAGAGAGAGATAAGTTACTGAGTAAGTTCATGAGACAAGCATCAGGAAAGAGAAAAATTAGCGATACTTGAAACCAGTAAAAAATGGTATAAACATGTATAATAATGATGATCATAATGATGGTTATATACCAATCATTGAGATTGCCATTCAACCGATCACAAATGTTTCTCTCAATTACATGACAATTTAGCTCGTACTCCACATAATCACCATCGTCATCAATTCATCTGTTTTTTTCATCATTTTGTCCTAAAGAGACTGCGTTAAAGTACTGGTTTAACACACAAAAAAGGTTGAATTTTGTTAACAAGAATTAACAGATTTCTTGAGCTTTCATCTTCATCTTATTTCAAGGAGAGAGAGAGAGATGAAAAGAATGGGGAAAAATGTAGAAAAGTGGAAAGAGTTGAAAATTGATTTTAAAGAGAATCCTTTTTGTTACTGTAAAATGAAGTTTGCTGTTAAACTGAAGGGATGAAAATGATGGTGATAATGATGGACTTAACTGAATGATTAAAATTAATAATCTGTTGTTTCAGCTTCACTGGCATTTAATTGAGGTTAAATAATGATGTTAAAATGGTTAGCGTGTCAATTTATGTGATAACATATATTTTTGTTTATGATCAACTTGTCTTTTAATGTGAACCTGTTAACTAATACAATTATTAATCCATCATTTTTATTCATTTCAATCATGAGTTTATTTCAATTGATTGTCTAGTAGATTCAATAAAAGGCTGATATTTACAATCATTTCAAGATGTTCACGTGTAATTCAATTCAATTTTGCTCAAGTCCTCTATTCCTCATCATCTTTCTTTAACCAATAGACATGTATATTTATGTGCATATTTTTTTTCTCGTCTTTATACCTGCTTCTTCTCAATGTGCTTGTTAGATAAAATGTAAGATGAGATGATGATAGTGAGTTTATAAAGAGGTGAAATGAGAGAGAGAAATGAATTTGAGAAGGAAACTAACTACATATGATATGTGTGAATGTGGATGAACAAAAAAAGTAGAGGAAATGGGTTTCAATAAATTGATTCCAGAAATGCCTTTCCATAGAAAAGAAGAAGTTGGTGAAATCAACAGGCAACTCAAGATATGGAGGATTGCAGGGAGTAAAGAAAATGAATTTACTTACACAATGGTTTTTACTCTTCTTATGAGACTTGAAAAGCATTCCAAAGGAGCAAACAACAAGATTCCAATCGATAATTCATTTAACTGACTAAAGCCTTCATCTTATTATACAAATATATCTATAAAAACACTTTTCTCGGGTAAGATTATTTTTTCCTCTCTCCAACCATTCTCTATCTCTAAAGGTTAAAATCATCGGTTGAAAAGTAGATTGATTAAAAGTTAACCCTTTTCTGGTCATTTTTGCTTCTGTAGCTTCATCGATTGACCAACCAAGAGATAGAGAGATAGGTTGGAAGGGTTAACCTCTATTGGTAATACTTTTGTCATTATCAAATTATCACTTTTTTGGTGTTGATGTTGCTGTTGTTAATGGTTAAAATTGTAATTTATTTGGATAATCATTTACTCACTGTTGTTGCATTGCTAAAGTTGCTGCAGCAATGTGTTGTTGTTGAGCTTGGTGCTGTTGAGCTGAGACTGCAGCTGCAGCTAAAGCTAAATAAGGGTTAGTTGCGGTTGTGGTAAGAGCAACTGGTGCTGGTGTAGTTGCTTGGTGTTGATGGACAACCGCTGCTGCTGCTAGATGTTGCATTAAAATTTGCTGAAAGAGAAAAGAAAAATAAACAGATAAGAAATTTCAATATGTTAATGATGTTCTGTATCCTGAAAATTCACTTGAAATGTAAACAAAAGGGTAGAGAAAGATAAAAGAGACAGAGAGGAACAAGCATGGAATGGATGAAATATTCAATCGAAAGAGTCTGATGAAAAATATGTGTCGATAAACATAATATACATAAATTATGTACTTATCAAGACGATAAATGAAGCAACAAGCATCTTTCAGTTTTTCAGTCACTCAAGCAAAGTTTTGTTGATTATTGTCTGAGTTAACTTTCTAAAGATGAACATGTTAAAAGAGAGGCGAAAACTGAGAGACTTTATTATATATTAATGCTCTTCCCACTAAATTACCATCACTATCTTTACCTATCATTTTCCTCTTCTACTAACCTCTATCCATCATATTTATCATCATCAACGCATATTTAAGTATAAAAATATCAGAGATGAACGCAATAACTATCAGTAAAGTTTCCAAGTCTTTTAGGAAAGCTGAATCAATTCCTGCTTAGATTCAATTGTTTTTCCTACTTTCGCTTTTCTCTTCTTTTTTAGTAATCTTTTTTTCCACTCTTGGTAAACCAGAAATTACTTTCGCCCTTGAATACTACTGTCATAAGAGATACGGTAGATTAGACAAATTTTTCGGATAATCAGCTGAGTCTGTTTTGGTTGTTATGAGTGAAAAAAGGTGCATATAGTTAGCGATAATGGAAAGGAAGAAGAGTGATGAAAATGGATTAAAACGACGTTGGATATTAAGGTTAGGGTAAATTTTCTGGTTTCCAGGATTTGTATTCAAGATGTTGATTCGTACTTGCTGTTTTCGGGCATCTTTATCTTTTTGGGTATCTGCGAATTTAACAACCAAAGACGAAGAACAGCCTTCCATTGTTTGACTGTGATTCATTGCTCTAATAGCATTAACTGCACATTGTCGTGAGGTAAAAGTTACGAAAGCACAGCCTGTGAAAGATAAAGAAAAGGAATATTTAACATTAATTTAAAAGCTAGCAAGTTAGATTGTTTAATTAAAAGCAGTTTTTGTCAACATCATTACTATCATCATGAAATTAGATTAGAGACATTGTAGAAAGTGAAATGGTTCATGTATATCATGATCAATAGATAACAATTGGCATTAACTTGAAACTGTTTTAAATTAGATTAAAAATTGAGATAAATTTGGGTTAAAAATTACCTTTACTGAGCCCATTAGCATCTCTAAGAACTGTGCACTCTTCAATGATTCCATAAGGAGCAAACATGAGTTTGACCTCAGTTTCTGAATACTTTTTTGATAACATACCGATGAAAAGTTTTCTTTCATTACGGTTCTCACTATCAGCTGGTTTCATTTGGATGGGATGATGCATTCCAGGCAATGTTTTAATATTATGGAGAGCATTTTGAGCGTCAAGAGCTGACTTTCTCGAAAAAAAAGTAACAAAACAACAGCCCCGACTGAGTCCAGAGGATTTATCTTTGAGTACATTTAAGGAATAAATTTCACCAAATTCTTCAAAAAGAGCTCGGCATTCAGCCTCAGACCAATCCCTTGGAATCTGTCCAACAAACATCTTAATGGTATTGGGGTCCGGTTCACGGTGATTGGTGCTCGGGGTAACACATGATGATGGAGGAGATACTGAAAGGTGGTTGTTCCCTGTTGAGTTGGATCCGTTTACGGTAAGCCCGCAGGCCACCGGAGACGGTGATGATCCCGATGAGTTAGGAGGACTTGAGTTACTGGTGCCGGTCATACTACTCATACTTCTACTTTGCCTTCTTTCCTCAATATCTTCTTCTTCGTCAAGATGATGATGATGATTATTTTGAAGCTGTGTTTGATTATGAGAGTGGCGGTGATGAAGATGCTCTATTTGATCAGCTTCTTCGACCAAACCTAGTAAAAGCCTCTCATCAATCTCTAATCTGGCCTTTTTTACCATTCAATCTGCTTAGTTGGAACCAAATCAACGGAATGCAGGTAAGGACAAGATTATTAAATTTAAAGAATAATAATCGATTATAAATGGTGATACTATTTATGATAGATAAGGTGGTAATGGTAACAGAAAAAAAGGAAAAAGTGAGTCAAGAATAAAGCGAAACGGAGAAAGGAAAATGTATAGAATTAAGATGATAGAACAAGAGAAAAGTATATGTAAAACGTAATTTCAATCTCTTTCTTTTCTGTTTAGGTGAATATGTTACGAGAACACAGGTAATTTGAATAAATTGACAATGCAGGTAGTGGTGGTAATCTCGATAAAGTTGATAATTTGGATAAAGTAAATAATATCTTTGATAAGAGTGATGGAGGGAAATAAGTTGAAATATGTTGTAAACAGTTGCTCAAGTTGCTTCTTTTCGGGTTTCAGTTGCTTCCAATCTTTATCTTCTCCTAATAATTGAACAAATTTGTATTGATCTTCGTACGTTTGATATTGTAGTTTATGTTGTTTTGATTCTCTGATGAAATCACACTTGTTGCTGCTACTGTTCTTTATAGTATCACTCAACCAGCTTTCACAGTCACCCATAACTGTTGTAACTGATCAAACTTTGAAAGAAACGGAGGATCCAGAAGGAAGATAAAGAGTAAACAAACAGTCAAATCGTAAAAATCCACGGTGGAAAAGGTTACAGTTACCACAGCATTAAACAAATTAAATACATAAAAAAGTTAACAATAAATTAATTACACAATTAATTAACAAATTTAACAAAAAACCAAACTATGAATAACAAGCTGCAAAATAAAAAATAAACCTGTAAAGATTCAACCTGTTTGCTCTCTCATTCTCACTCAAAGCAAATCTTTTCAACTCAAATACTCTTCATATAGCGCTATCTATTGGTTCACATTCAAACCTGAACTTCATCATTTTATTTTCAAGTCTAAATAAACTAATCGAGTTACGAATCGAAATAATTGCCCATTAATTTTGTAGATTAAATCCAAATTAATCGCTAGTTAATTGTAATTTTTTCATTGCCAACAGAGAATTCAACAAAAACTTTACCTTCTTCCATCTGATCAGTTTTCCCCACCTTCTCCGTCATCAAGGCTTTCAGATAGTGATACCTCTGAATTAGATTTATTATATATGATTATGATTCAGAAATTGATATAAATGCTTCCAGAGGTAAGTGTTTCAGTGGAAAAGTTAATTTGATTCAAGATTAATTTTGATTTGATTTTGTGTTTAACATCAGAATCTTGGCATGGACTATTGGCGGAAACTAGTCAGAGCTCTTTCGGAAGTACAGCCAGTCCACCTTTGGTTCTTGATGAGACTGGTGGTGTAGCAAGTGGTGCTGAAGCTGGAAATGCTTCCAGTCAGCTTCGTCGATCAGCCAACAAATCGATTGGTTATCAAGGCCAAGCATATCGTCGTGCCTTTCAAACAAAGGCTCTTGGTGACTTTAACCGTGGTCCACTGTTGAGTGCCGCTCATCCATTCCAAGCATCCACGTCCCTTCCAAGTAAGTTCCATTCATCTACTCGACCGAATGAAGCCCAAATTTCGTAAAAGCTCAAGTCAACCTTCTCGCTCATTGTCACCGCCATCACTTCGTTTTGCTTCGCCTTCCATTGATGAAGGGTACTATCGTGGTTCAAAGCCCATTCCAACAACCCCAACTGGGTCTCCATTTCAAATTAAAAAACGTCGCCTTCCTGCAGTTCCATTCCTTCGCCGAGCGAGTCGTGATCGTGATATTGTTGCTCAGGAAGCTCAAGGATATGATTCAGCCATTGGCTCATCAGGATATCCTTTACAACCAGAGATCAGTTTAGCCGGTCGATCCAAACAGTACAAAACATCGCTTCATCAGCGTCGTTCTACCGAAGCCTTAACATCGGGCGGAATGTATTCCGACAGTGAGATCGTCAATAGACCACAATATGATAGACTCTTCTATGCCCATCCACATCGAAGCTCAACCTCAAGTCGGGGTCGCAATCGACGAGGATCCGAAATAAATCAATCATCTGATGCTTATGCCGGAGAAAAAGCACCAGTTGAAAGACGAGATAGCAGACAAAAGCACACTTCTGGGCGAACTGAATTGGATGCCCCGGGCAATGATAACCTGGCTGGAACTGGAGTAAGACATCGTAAAGAACGTGGATCTATTAAAGTTAAACCAGGAAATGTCGCAAGTGAAGATGAATCTGAGTCAAGCTCTAAAGCAAGCGAAAATAGTGCCTTTTCTAATATTTCCTCTCGACCTAGAATGAGTCGAACTCAAGGGTAAGTACTCTTAAATTTCTTATTCACCAATCATTTAACATTAATTTATCTTTATAAATGAACTTTAGGGAATACCGTGAACATCGAGAA